CCAGGTTACGACCGTTCCCCTAGCGAAGGCTTGTAACCTGGGGATTACACGATGAGCGCCCCCTAGAGTTTCTGAACAAGACCTGGAACTACGAATCTTGCAGCACCATGACAGTTGTTCACGCCTAGGAACAACCGCAGATGCTCTGCAACATTCGTTCGTCATGTTGCCGGCTGAAATTGAGCTTCTGAGGGGTGGATCCGCCCCTCAGGAGCCCTGCCCAGCTCTCTAGAGGCCTCCCCTGGCCCGTTGCAAGCTGAACTGGAGCCTCCAGGGGCCAGATCAAGCCCTCCAAGGCTCCACTGAGCTCTCTGTGGGCCTTCCCCAGCCCGTTGCAGGCCAAAATGGAGCCTTGGAGGGCTGAATCCAGCCCCCGGAGGCTCAGATTCGGCACTGAGAGGCTCCATTTTGATCTGCAATGCGCCAGGGGAGTCCCGCGGAGGGCCAATGGAGCCTCAGAAGGCTGGATCTTCACAAGGTAAGTGACCCGGCACAGCAGGTGGTGGGAGGGAAGCAATTTGGGCAGCACAAGGTATTTCAGTAGGTTGGGGAGGACCTGGGTGGTTTTAGGCAGGCGACCTGTTCCGCCAGTAGGCCCCATGGGCTTCCCCACCCTGAAATACCTCGTGTGCACTTAACGAGCCTCAGATGCAAATAGCGAATGCCTGGGCGGAAGTAGGGAGTGACCTTGTTCAAGGTGCAAGATTCACTCCCACAAATCCTCGGGTTACGAATGGAATGGGCAGGCTCCATTCGTAACTCGAGGACTACCTGTCTTGAACGATGATGCTAAACCTTTTTCTTGCTGTTTACAGCCACATATACCCAAATCCAGCCTCATTCACTGATCCAGCAACAGCAGCAAATTCACCTCCAGAAGCAAGTGGTGATCCAGCAACAAATTGCTATCCATCACCAGCAGCCATTCCAGCATCGTCAGTCCCAACTCCTGCACACGGCTACACACCTCCAACTGGCCCAGCAGCAGCAGCAGCAGCAGCAGCAGCAGCAAGCTCCACCTATGGCCCAACAGCAGCAGCAGGGGCCACCACAGGTCCCGCCACAGGCCCCGTCTCTTCACGGCCAACAGCAGGCCCAGACTCTTGTTGTCCAGCCCATGTTGCAGTCACAACCTCAGGCCATGCAGCTCCAGCAGGACGGTCATTGCCCAACAGTCGCCAAGACTCCTGTCCCTATTCAGTCCAAGCCCCCCATCGCCCCTCTGAAGCCCCCACAAATTGGTGCTGCCAAAATGTCAGCCTCTCAGCAGCCCCCACCTCATATTCCAGTACAGGTCGTGGGGAATCGCCAGCAAGGTCCGGCTCAGGCCTTAGGGCTTCCTCAGATGAACACAGCTGTGCAGGCCCCCCGCAGTGTCCCAGCTTTAGTGCAGCCAGTGTCCCAAACCCATACAGCGTCCTCATTGGCCCAGATCTCTTCCTCCTCTTCCTCTTCTTCGGTATCATCATCACCACCACCACCTACTCTACAAGAAGCCCTTCCTCCGCTCACCGCTGGAGCCAATGTAACCCAGGGCACAACGCAGGTGAAGAACACGGCTTAATCTCCCGTCCTTACAGCAGTCACAGCATATTACATACAGCCGGTCCAGTTATCAGTCAAGTGGCCCCCTGCCAGTGTAGTGGGAAACAGAGTTGGAGGGCAACAAGCATAATGGGCTAATTTTCCTGCACAGGCTCATCGAGCTAGTCTGTTATTGAGGAGAAAAAAAATCAGTTATTTTAAATGAGTAATTGATTTCCTTAGATTTCTAGATAAGTGAGACAGAAATTGTTGGTTTCTTTTGAGGAAAGGTACAGTTGAAAGAGATAGGTAATCTCTATTGTCTGTTTTTCTTCTTTCCATGCAACCTTGATTTGATGGCTAGGATTTTAATAGTATTTAAAATAGATTGTATAATACCTTCACTAAAATATATGTAACGTTTCAAAGTCTTCCTCCTACACAGAGCAAGCCCCAGGCTTTAGCCGTCAAGCGCAAGGCGGAATCCGAAGAGGAGAGAGAGGACTGCAGTGCACCGTCTTTACAGGCTGTCAGGTCTTCTCCTGTGGCGGAGAGTCCTAAAACCACGGAGGATAAGGGTGGCCTTGGAGGTGAGGAAAGCCAGAGCTATGTTTTTCACTGTTGCTTTTATGGTTCACACCATAAAGGATTCTCTGCCTATTCATTAGTCTATTTGGAATGTTTTGAACCGTAGGATTTCTGGTGACATTCCTCCCGTTCTAAATAGTATAATATATATAAGGACATAGCTCCTATTTTTCACACTTCAAGCTCAAGGAGATGTTTGCATTCAGAATGCTTCGGTAGGCAAGAAACCACTGGACCTAGAGGTCATTATGAGAAAAGAGAAAGAATAGGAGCTCAAATCTGAATCTGGCATTGAGTTTGCCTATCCTGCCACTTCAGTCATGATGGAGATGTTGTTCTTCCTCTCATGCAGCTGCTACCTCGTTCTGTTAGCCTTTCCATTAGTGATTGCATAGAGACCCATTTGTGACTGAGAGAATATATGGTCCCTGAGTATAGATCTGAGTTTGTGCATGATTCCCGCCAAGTGAGTCAGATTTTATGTGGTTTTAATTGTTTTTATGATGTTCTCTTTGGATTTGATGCAAAAAAAAAATCTACGGTAGAAGCACGTTCAGCATCATTTTTCTCTGTGACTTCCTTATTTCTCTCCCCAGCCACTCCTTTGGATTGTAACTAGGTAATTCACCCTTATCCATTGTAGGCTTCTCATCCCTCAGTTTTAGTATAATAGCTTAATATCATCATGCGATATTAATGGCCAGTGCTAATCATTCTATCAGGGAAGAGTAAATATTAGAGGTGTGCATAAAATGAAAAAAATGTTTTATTTCATTCCTCCTCCTCCCCTCAAAAAAAGTTAAATTCTGGAATTTCTGTCAGATCAGAACCTGCTGAAAAGTCAGAGTTTGGCTTGAGACATGGTTGAACTTGTAAGTCCAGACGTCTGCCAATATCATCTGATGATTGCAGTAATTTATTGATTTGTCGCTTCATTTTATTTCTGAGGATAATTATTAAAAATATTGTTTAATTTAAACATTCATAATATTTCAAAGTTGAAGAATCTCTTAGGTTTAGAAACAAATTCCAAAAAAACCCAGCATCTTTTATTATCCCAGGTGAATGAGTTTATTGGCAAACATCAAGATACGACCAAGACAGCTACTGTCATTTGAAATCATTTTGAGCAGTGGCCCTCATTTTTTTAGGTGCCGGAGACTGGTTCCATGGAGAAAAGTTTTTCGGTGAACCTAAGGGAGCGTGGTTTAGTGTGCTCTTGCATCCCATGGGGCTTCGCTTGTTTGTGCAGCTCCGCTGCTGGCATGCCACAGAGCGTTGCTGGTCTATGGACCAGGGAGTGGGGGCCCTTGATTCTAGCCCAGAGGTCACCAAAGGGTGGTCCATGGACCACTGATGGTCTGCGAGAAAATATTGGTGGCCTGCAGAAAAAATATTTGCATTTTTTATATTGCCCTAAATTAGGGGTCGTCAAGCTATGGCCCCTGGGGTGGATATGTGCAATTAATGTTTGTGTTGCTGCAGAGTCTCCCCCTTCTGGATCTTTTTGTGTGGGTCAGAAGGGGGCAGAAATTGGGGTCTGCTTCAGCCTCCTGATGCGGGACTTGGTGAAGGCTGGAGGGAAGTGCCACTGGTGGTGAAGAGCCAGAAGGCCTTGTTCTAGTGGGACAGCATCATGGCCTAGAACTGGCTGACCATCTCAGCCTGCTGAGTCTCCAGGTGCTGGTAGCTGGCCTTGCACTCCTGCAGATCTTCCCTCTGCTTGGGAACCCTATGCTCGTGGCCCTCAGTGAGGTGCTTCTGCTGAGCCTCCTTCTCCGTCAAATCCAATTTGAGCCGAGCCAGCTCTTTTGCCAACTCTTTCTTGTGGTGGCTGCTTAGCTCCAACAACTGCTTCCTGTTGGGGCCCTAAGGAGCCCAGGCGGGTGAGTAGTGGCTGGGAGGGGAGGGGCAAGGAGAGGGGTGGACCAGTCTTTTTGCTCTGATCCCCAGTTTCAGGACCGTGGTTAGAATTGTATTTGCACAACAATGGAAAACTGAAGAGATCCCTACAGATGAAAGCGTGATTCAAAAAATATTAAAATGTGCAGAAATGAATAAACACTTGCAATTAAGGAAAGGAACAAACTGAATGTTTTATTATATGGGATTTATTTTATCAATGGTTAGATAACAAAAACAGAAGTTAGAAACATGGAGATATAAGAAAAAGATTACTGAAATAAGGGAGATTTGTTAAAATAGAGAAGCAAATATTATGATTTTATTTTTATTATTATAGAATTAATATCAATGTAATGAATATTGTTGTAAACATTGTTACTATCTTTCAAACTATTTATACCCAGACAACACACTGTTTAATTGAAAATGATACTTTGACATGTTAAAAAATAAAAATAACTTTATGCAAAAAATAAAGTTGAGATCAACATGTGGGACCCGCTTGGAAGAAATTGTCGTGAGCAGTAATTGTCCTGCTACATCATCCATCCTAACTGGTATTGAATCTTCAAATTCTGTAAGGGGATTAAATACTGTTTAACAAATATAATGCTGACTCAGTCATGTCTGAGTTTTCAAAGGTCTTAAGACTTGGTTATGTCTGAGAACGGTTCACCGACAAATGCGCGCTCGACAAAAGCGCACCGATGAAACCGTGCCGAGAAAACTGCGAGGTCGAAATCACGCCGATGAATGTGCGCAGAAGCGCGCCGACAGCGCGCCAACAAAAGCGCGCCTTCAACAAACAACTAATAACAACCTAATTACCTTAACCTTAACCCTAACCCTGAACCTAACCCTTACCTTAACTTAAATCACGCTTTTGTGGGCGCAGTTTTGTCGGCATGTTGTTCTGGGCGCGTTTATGACATCGCGGTTTTCTCGCCGTGGTTTCGTCAGCACACTATTGTCGTGCGCACATTTGTCGGGTCACGCCTGAGAACCCTGGAAGACCAGCAAACTAGTGAGGTGGTTCCATTATTATTAACATCATCTGTTACTTGTTTTTTTAGCTTTGTTTTATCATTTTCAATGTTTCAGTGCTTTTATTTCAATCAATCAAATAATATGACAACTTAACTAAATAAATATATAAAGGTTCAACAGTACCCATATGGAATTATATTTAACAATGAGTACGTGGATTTAATTTTTATAAAACAAATCCGTTTTGTTAAATATACGGCAATTTTAAAATTTAGTTTGTTAATGATGTTTCTGTTTTAGAGAAGACTGACTCTTTCACCGGTGGTACTCTAAATGCATCCCCAAGTGACCCCAACTCTGCAAATCCAACCATTGCTTCTGTTCCTACACTGGCTGTGTTGTCACGTCAGACTGGAGATTCCAAACCTCCGCAAGCCATAGTCAAGCCTCAGATTCTTACGCATATCATAGAGGGCTTTGTCATTCAAGAAGGGGCAGAGCCTTTCCCGGTAAGAAGGCTGTTACCATAGTATTTTGATTCTTTTTGTCATTCTAAGTTGATCCTATGGGCTAACACAAACCTCAGCATTTGGGGGGAATATACGGGAAAGAATTTGATAGGAGGCATTGAATAGATGAAAATGATGAAGGTTTATTATTTTTTTGCATTACAGGACAAGTATTATTTTGCCTAGTGCAGCTCAGTGGCAGTATTTGGAGTGACAACATGTATTGATGTTCTAGTTTACACCTGTGACATTTTTAGCCTATTAAATATAATCAGCTACAAACATTAAATCTTATGACCCCCATAGCCACTATAACTACCTATAAAATTCTGCTGTGGTGAATTAATTTGATATAAAACAAAAGCTGAGTGGAAAAACGAATTAGACACTTGTCTAGGACATGGGAGTAATTTTAATATCAGTACCAAAAATTTCATTAGATCTCAAATGATGTCTCATTCAATGCCAAAAAATATTATTTCAGATTTGTTGGACTCTTGCATTTATATAGAAAAGGCTACATAAATATGATACAATACAATTATAACATATAAATTGTTGTGATATTGGGGTTACAATGAAATGGTTCTTCTAAATATATATTTCTTCCTTGTCCTGTAATTGTTCCATTGAGGGGGTGCACGAGAGCACATGTACTTTGATGTGTTCAGATTCTTTTGAACTGTGTTCCTGCTGCATAGAGGTGGATATCTGAATACAGAAAGTAGATTTTCTGTTTCCTATTTATATCTAAAAGATGTATTATTTAGCATTGCAAAGAAATGTGGCCCTCAGTTCCTCAGTGGTCTGCCAAATTAATATTATGAACTTTTATTGATATAGATTATAATGAATGATTGTAATGAAATCCAGCTACCATTCATTGAAATGTTTATATAGAATGTTTATATATGTGAATCCTTTAACATATGCCCTGTTTGTTTCTAAAATTGTGCATTATTTTCTTTTTTCTTTGTTTTTGTATTCACATCAATTAAAGCAAAAATATTTTTTTTTAACTTGGGACATTGCATCCTGACTAAGCAATGTATTCTTCCTTGCCCTTCCACCCCTGCCAGAATGAGCCCCCGCGGGGACTTAGCTGGTACTACCAAAGCCAGAAGGGGGGAAAAATGTAGTAATCCTCTAGGCCCACCTAATGAGGCATGTAAAAGGGTAAATGCTGTTAATGAAGCTAATGCAAGTTTTTTCTCCCCCTTCTCTTGAATGCAGGTGGGCTACTCTCAGTTCCTTAAAAACTTTGAAAAGCCTCTTCAAGGGGCCAATCCTTCTAGGCAGCCTAACAACCAATGCAGCAACTCTCCTGGAGTAGAGAGTTTAACCGTTGGTGAGTGTTTGCTTAGAACTAAGAGTAGATAGAAAGAAATCTTGCATCGTGGTTATTATGGTGAGATGTTTTCTTCTTACTAAATAAATATTTTTAAATATTTTGTCCATTTTTCTTTTTTAAAGCAAGAAGAGTCTGAGTGCCAATTCACATTCTTAGGAATTGATGTGGTCTTCCTTGAAGAGTTAACCAGATTGTTAGCATTGTCAAGGTTTAATGTTTACCCAGTATAAAAATTATGAGGCTTTGAGACTTTCTTAAGGGAAAGATTCATGCTTTAAATAAATATTTAGTGTAGTCCTTCTGTGGAACAGTCCATTTTTTTTCTTAAGCAGATTTTAGGTTTATATCCTAATTTTGATAATTAACAAGATTACTTGTAAAGTTATCTTCATCTGTCATTTCCTCAGATCAAGACAAGAAAGGAAACTTGCTGAAATGTGAGTTCTGTGGCAAGTATGGCCCCGCCAGTCAGTTCCGTGGTTCCAAGAGGTTCTGTTCTGTAACGTGTGCAAAAAGGTAGCGATAACTGGATCTCCTTGAAATTTATGACTCCTAAACAAATAATTTAGAGCATGAATGCCTAGATACTATAGATTGGAAAAGAAGCTTTTTTTTATTTCTAAGGAACAGAAATTATCTTTTCTTTCTGGCCATAATAGATATAATGTGAGCTGCAGCCACCAACTACGTCTGCAAAGGAAAAAAATAAAAGAGCTCCAAGAAGCAAACTATGCTCGTCGTCGGCGTGGACCCCGGCGCAACAGCTCTGAGATTGCTCGAGCCAAAATCCAGGGCAAGCATCACCAGGTGAATCATCCCTTTTCTTCCCTACCATGTTGGGGACGGGTGGAATTAAAGTGGGCTTCTCTGTTTTTCTGCCATGGTGCTGGGGAGGCATTTTCAAAATTGGGATCATGTGGTATCAGGACAGAGCTTAATGAAGTTTATGTCACAATGGAAATGGCCCTATCTTCCGCTTTCTTTCAGTAACGTTGCTTTAGCTGCTGTGAGAAATGAAGAAGCTATTAGCTTTGTTTACCACCTTACTTCCCTGCAGTGCAACAGGTGGACTGGTCAGCTGATTAAATGCAATGTAAATTTCAGAGGGTTGACACCAGAGGAGAAAAGATATAGACTGGACTCATTAGACAAAGCACATGAATTCTATGAATATCAATTTGGAACTACTGAAGAACAGGAAAGGGGAGGGGGAATAGAATGTGAGGGACAAAAAGAACCAGTAAATGTGGAAAAGAAGAAAGAGAGGCTGAGGAAATAGAACGGGCAGAACAAGAAGGAGCAAAAGGAACAGAGAGAAATAAGATCAACTAGAACCAGGATGGTGATCCATCGCCCCAACCCAGCTCCACTGCACATGCGCACACGCCTCTCGACGGCCAACTGGTCTTTGGGTCTCTGCCGCGCATGTGCGGGGGGCACTCACATTGCATTTTGGCGGTTCCCCTTTATCGATGCAGCTGGGCACGACTGTGTCCCGAGACACTGGCCTGCTGCAGCAGCCACTGCCTCTTTGCCAGCGTGAATGTTCCGTTTATTTAGCTTGTATGCCGCCCTAACTCCCGGAAGACTCAGGGCGGAATGGCCTGCAGCTGCAGCCTCTTTGCCGATGCGAGCAGCCTGTTGCAACAACCTCTTCGCTGGCATGAACAACCTGCAGCCTTGGCCTCTTTGCCAGTGCGGGCCCCACCCCACTCCACCGCCCTTCCAGGTTGATGCAGGAGGCTTTCTAAGTCCAAACCGGGGCTGATTTGGACCTGGAGACCCTCCTGCACCAAAAGGGAAGTCAAAAAGGGGTGTGGGGCGCTCACATTGCAGTTTGGGGGTTTAGGCACACGTTTGTGCATTTGCACGTGCACTTTGGGCACTCAGCACCAAAAAGGTTATCCATCACTGAACTAGGACAATACTACAAGTGAGAAGATGAAAGAATAAAAAATGCTATCAATTAATATAAATGGATTGAATTCACCAATGAAAAGGGGAAAAAACTTTTCACAAAATTATAAAAAATAAAATTTGATTTAATTTGTCTCCAAGAAGTCCATATTAAAAAACAACATAGTAAGCTTTTAGAATACCCCAAAATGGGAAAAGTAGATTTCTCACTAGCACAACAAAAGAAAAGGGGGTGGATTTATATATAAAGAAAGCAATAAACGCCAAGCAAATATACACAGATGAAAGAGGGAGAATTTTGATGGTGGTGGTAATAATAAATCAAAAACAAATAATGCTGATAGCAATATACACACAAAATAACAAACAAGAAGATTTCTATTAAAAACTTCACATGAAGATAACTGAAATGGATTATGAAAACATTTGTGTGTTGGGGGACTTCAATACAATTGTGGATGCAAAATTGGATTATAGAAGCAGGAAGATAGGTAAAAAGGCACAGAAAACACTGCCTAGGACTTTCTTTAAAATGGCAGAAGAACTATCACTTAAAGATGCATGGAAAAAAATTAATTTAGAGAAATCCAATATGCCTTCTACTCAGACATCAATCATGGTCAAGAATAGATATGATATGGATGACACCGGAATTACGAACAAATGTACAAGAGATAGAAATTGAAACAAATGTATGGGCAGATCATAACCCAATAAAAACAAAATGGAAAGATCAAAGGAAAAAATGAGATGGATGTTGAATCAAAACATATTAAATGATAAAGAGTTTATACAAATAATTGAGAAAGAAATGGACTTCTTTTTCAAGGAGAATAAGTGTCAGCATTGACTTCATTTAGTAATCAGGAAAGAAACCACTGGACTCCATTTGAATTGAAATCAAGTGTACTTT